TCACAGATATTTGGGGTTTCCCTTAACAATTGCAAAACATGGACTTTACTTTATGCTCGACTATGATGGTTACCATTTTGTTAATGCAACTCCTTCTAAACTCTCAAATAAAATTCAATGGAACTTTCACAGAATATCATTTACATACTCCCAAGAAATGGACTTTGCCATTATACTCCTATAAGATCGGGGCTGTCGTCTTTTGAGCTAAGTACTCACAATACTTCTAGTTTAAATATTAGACTTGTCTTACGTCTTTTATGCCTTCAGAAAAGATGCAATTCAATGTAAGCAAAAGACAGTCAATTTTTATTTATTTATTTCACACAATACGGAAAAAGGGGAGGGGGAACGGTAGGGGAAATGTTTTAAGTAAGAAGTGAGCAAAAAAGAGTTCAATATGTAGGACAATAAAATACTTCCTTTGTTAATACGGGAATTACCTTTTGCCGCTATTGCAGAAACAAAAAAATCATAAGCAAAACCCTTAGGAAGATACAACGTTGGATTACAATATATAAATAGGGAGATTTTTCTGTTGAGCATTTGTCCCTCGTTTAAAGCAAAATGTAATGAAATTTAATTTAATGAAAGCTTGCATTGTTACTTAAAACAATTTGCATTTTTTGACAACTATAATTTCGGAAGACTTAAATTTAAGAAATAGTTCAACATTTTACATTTTACAGACACTGAGGGAGAGGGTGTTGTCAGCTATGGGGAAAAATTGCATGAAATCGAACACCATAAATTTTTCATTCTGCATACAATGAAAAGTGATGTAAAGTACACTGTAGGTTTTAATTTTTTACTAGACAAATAATTATCTGTTAACCCTTCATGATGACTGGAGTTCTTCCTCGCATAGAATTTTGTTCTTGATTGGTGCTGTAATTAAACTAATAAATTGAATTCTTCAACATGCTCTATTTGAATAATTTATTTGATCATTTAATCTTTACATTTCTTATGACTATGAATTTTGTTTCAGAGTTGATAAGACCATCATGAAATTCATTAAATGTCTACTTTATTTGTCTATATACATGTATTTATAATTATCAAGGTCTACAGCGTATCAGAGCAAGCATAATTACAATGTATATGTATCACTTCCATGAAAAGCTACATTCAATTATACACGATGTTTGGAATTTAATATTTTTACATGATGACGATGAGATTTGCAATCCACAAGGCTTTAAAAGCATAATTTCAAAATTTTGATTTCACTTACGTCAGTTATAAGGTTTAACTAATAGGATGCAATGCATGAAAATAAAACTTGGATGATCCCTTTTCAGTCCCTTCTCCGTACCCACATGTTATAAAATTTCAAACAATTCACTTGACCAAAGTGTTTAAATATTGTTAACCTATTATTTGACACATGTTAATTATATCTAAATTCTAAAGCCTTTTCATTTTTTTATTGGACGCATCAGACAGACATTTGCAAATTGCTCTGTTTAAGTATTTTAAACTATGTTAATCACAAACTTCGCAAATTGCTCTGTTTAAGTATTTTAAACTATGTTAATCACAAACTTTGCAAATTGCTCTATTTAAGTATTTTAAACTATGTTAATCACAAACTTAAACAAGAGGTACATGTACAAGGGGCACAATGCTCACCTGAGTCACATTGCCCCAGCTCTTCTTAATCAGATTTTTAAAAGACTTCCACCCCCATTCCCCACTCCCTGACTTTATGTCCACCAAAAATGTTGATCCATTCTATGACCCTTACTTTGCCTCAAGATGTAATGATTTAACTAAACTTGAATCAACACAACACAACTTCAATATGACTAATATGGCTGATTTTTCTTATTTTGCTTTTCCCTGTGCGCAACATTACAATTTAATGTCCGATTATAGTCCAAACCTAATCACCTAAACCCTGCGTGGATCAAGGGGTGTTCCATATCAACTGTAAAAAAATGTCGAGTAAGTCATTGACAAGTCATTTTCTGAAGTTAGTTTTCTTTCAATATGGATATTTGACCAAGTACTGTAAGTAAAGTATTTTCCTAAATTCATTCCTAACTGTAGCAAGTATGACTTAATTTGTGGGACACACAAGAGGTCCATGGGCCACGATGCTCACCTGAGTCACCTTGGTACTGCTGTTATTCATTAGCAGATTTTTAAAAGAACCACACTTTATTCACATGAAAATGACATTACCGATATTATGTCCCCACCCTAGCCCCAAGGGTTTGCGGATGTTTTAATTTCATGATGATTAAAATATGGTCTTATGTTTTGCAAAGAAGCTATTAAATAAACATTAGGTAGTAAAAATTGCTTCCTGATATTTTAGACCTACTCTAATCGCAGGATCAATAATTTGAAAGTCAGAAGAACCTAGGTAATAGGATTGAGTTTGGCCTTGCTATTTTACAGAAGACTTTTTTTTGAAAAATAACAAATTTCGTTTTGAAATATTGCTTCCCTTTTGTAGCCCTACGACTACAACGAAGGCCATGGTTTTAACAAACTGTAACCTAGCTGCGCTTCCTGAGCATACTCACATATTCATGGGACTAATCATGACCCTTTTGATTTTGAGAAAAGTTTTTTCTTCTAATATTCCAAAATAAAACGTTGGTCCCATATTATGGTCCCTATTCATTCTTGGAGGCCATGATTTAAACAAACTTGAATCAGCAACATCCGGTAATGTTGCTATTGAGCAAAAGATAACATATTTAAACATATTTACATATATTCCCATGTTAAGCTTTGATCCCCTACTGTGGCACTAGTCTAAAGCTGGGGGCTAGGATTTTCACAAATTTAAATATGCACTACTTGAGGATACTTGCACCTAAATATCACTCATCATGGCCCTGCTGTTCTGGAAAAGATTTTTAAACGTTTTCTCTATACAATTTGATGAAAAAAAAATTGACCCTCTATTGTGACCCCACTCCACACGGAGTGGCAGTGATTTGGACAAACTTGAATCTACACCATGTCAGGAATCAAAACTTTCATACAAATTCACCCTTTTCTGGCACAATACCGGGTTCAACAATGGAGCACTATGGGGTACCTAAAAGCTCCTCTTCCTGATTCGTAACACCAACCAAGGTTGACATGCAAGGTTGCCCATTGTCAGATGTCTGAGATTTTCGAAGTCAAGACAGGAGTTCGACAAGGATGTTTGCTGTCACCATTCCTCTTCCTCATGGTCATTGACTGGATCATGAGGACTACCACATCAGACAGGAACATTATGGTGCACACTCTAACACAACTCGATGATCTTGACTTTGGCGATTACCTAGATCTCCTGTCACACAACCACAGTCAGATGCAGGACTAAACAACTCGCCTTGCGACAAAATCAGCAAAATCAAGGCTCAAGATCAATTTGAAGAAAACAGACTTGACAAAAATCAACATCACAGCTGAATTACCAGCCATAGTTGGTGGTGAGCCCGTCAAAGAAGTTGAGTAATTCATCTCCCTTGGGAGTGGTGGACAGACAGGCTGGCACAGACTGTGACATCAAGTCAAGAATCGTGAAGGCAAGAGCTGTTTTTACCATGCTAAAGAAATCTAGGCCTCAAAGAACATCCACACTACTACCAAACTGCGGATCCTCAACTCGAATGTTAAGTCCGTCTTACTGTATGGAGCAGAGACATCAAGAATGACCAAAACAACCCTGCAGAAGATCCAGACATTTTACAACACTTGTCTCAGGCACATCTTCAACATCCGATGGCCTGAAAGGATCACAAATGGAGAACTATGAGAAAAAGCAGGACAGGATTCTTACGATTTGCAAATTAGATGAAGAAAGTGGGGCTGGATTGGACATACTCTAAGAAAGTCACCATCCAGCATCACACGCCAGGCCCTGACATGGAACCGCAGGACAAGAGAAAGGTGGACGACCAAGAAACCACTCCTGTCTCTTTACTTCTATTTATAAATGATTTTCAAGAGTATGTGTCGAAAATTCAACTGTCCGCCTATTTGCAGATGGCTGTGCTTTTTACAGAGACATAAAAAATAAAGATAATGCTATACAGCTCCAGAAAGACCTAAATGAACTGCAGAGATGGGAGGAAGAATGGATGATGGAATTCCACCCTGGAAAATATCAAGTCTTGCATATTTCAATCTAATTAAAATTAGATGTTCCGAATCCACTACCGCTTCTCAAAAATCTAACAACATCCCATTCGGGGTCACATCAGAGCGACCTTTCGATTACCCAATGAAATTGCAGTCTCCGAAATCTTGACTTATAGTTCGGATGCGTTTCTTTTTTACTGCCAAACCCAAACGCCCAAGGGTTTTTTTTAGTAAACAAAATACCGTGCTATATATAAATGTGACGTTCGTGATATATAGACGTTTAGTTTGTGCATTTTCGTTTGCGTTATTCAGGTAAGAATGCCAGATTGGCGGACTATACGTTCAATTTATACCAAAATTACCTTAATTCAACGTAAGACAGTCTACTGAGCATCAATAATGTTAAGATGTAGCCTTGAAACTGACTTTAAAATCGTATACAGAAGCTTGAATATGATTGGCCAAAAATTTTATGTTTATTAATAATCGAAAGGTCTCTCTGACGTTACTCCAAATTGGATGTTGTTAGTTGTTTGAGAAGCGGAAGCGGACTCGGAACATCTATTTTTAATTAGATTGTACATGCTTCCAATGAAAGAAAGTGGTCAATGTACCATATGTCATCCATGACCATGTCATCGAGGTAGTAGAAACAGCTAAATACCTGGCAATCGACCTTCATCAAGGCCTGAAGTAGAACCACTACATTGACACCATCACAAAAAGGCAAATTCCACCATTTTTTTCCAGCACGCCTTTTTGAGACACAATTTACACAAATGTCCATCAGAAACAAAGGCTCTATGCTATCATATTTTAGTCAGGCCGATCTTGGAATAAGGGATTCGTACAGAAGGGACTGTATTGGCAAACTAGAGATGGCCCAAAGATGAGCTGCCCGAATGATAACATTTGACTATAAGACAACTAGAAGCGTATCAGACATGCTTAATCATCTGAGATGGGCATCTCTTCATGAACGACTTGGTCAAGCAAAACCTTTTTTGATGTACCACATAGTGTACCAGCTTATTGACATTCCACCAGTCCTCCTGTTTCAGTCCGCTTCAACCAGGGGAAACAGTATGATGTTCCTGGTTCCTTATGCCAGAACCTTAGAGAACCAGAAGTCCTTTTTCCCAGATGGTATACGGATGTGGAATTGTCTACCAACATCCTTGGTTTCAACCACCTCGATCCCTAGATAGCTTCAAATCCAAGTTATCTAGCCACATCATCCGGCAATGAACCAAACGATCTTTTGAAGTTGCACTGTAAATAGACATACAGATCAAAATATTATTGAAGTCTTATGAAACAGACACAGGTTAAATAAAAAATCTGTAATGTCATAAATGATAATTAATGATGATTCAAAAATTTCATTCAATTGAAGAACTTCATACTTGTACATGAAGTAGTAGAGACAAGAGTGATATACTTTTCCAGGCAAGAGGTCTGGAGAAGAGGTCACTTTTACTGGCTTTACTATAACTGCATAAACTTTATTATAATGTAATATATAACAATGGTTGCACCCCCCCCCCCCCCATTTGAGGTTCTTGAACATTTGATTAAAACTGTAAACCAACCGTAGATATCAAATCCATGAGACAAAATTATTGAGGCCTAGCTATGCTTAATCATATATTAACTCATAAGACTGATGGCAGCTAGAGTGTTCTTCACCAATGGCAAAATTTTATGATATAGGAAATTCGAGTAATTGATCTCTTTAACAAATGCTTCTACAATTTACTACATTTATTTATATACATTCATCTTCATTCGACCGCACTTCTTTTTGTTATAGATCTAATTACTTACCAAATCTTGATCACTGGGGTACATGTGAAATTTCCAGTCAGCCAGATCTCGTGGAAAATACCCGCGAACCTTACTCGGGCGATGTGTTGTATGAGATTCTATTTTATTTAATTTTTTTTCAGTTTCACATTGTGCATTTTAGATATGACTTTATGACTTTGATAAGCATGCAAATAACACTAATAAACTTGTTATGGTAGCAGCTAAAAACTATCGGATCGAGTGCTTTTTAGGTAGCAGCTGTTCCTTCGCCAAGCGCTCGGAACTTTATTTGAAGTGAAAGTTGCGAGTCTTTCGGATGAGACCTTAAAAACCTTAAAAAACGATAGGCGTTGGCACGATAAAGAATCCTTATTGCCCAACGGTCCTACATTTATACAAAATATTGTTAGAATATATATATTGTTTTATATATGTTTTATATATAAATATTGTTTTAGAAAAGTTCTCCAAGTAAGATTTTTTTGTGTGTTTAGAAATCTTTATTTCGAACCTGCACAACGGTGTTTATATACATCTCTAGGCACGTAGCATCGTTTTACAAATCGGCGAATCTAAAAAGAATGAAAAGATGCAGTTTCACAAATATCAATTTCAAAAATGATGAAAATGGTTGCCAACTCGTGCTTGCCCGCGACAATATAATATACATACATCGAATTTGTAATTTATTGTTATCCTATTCCAAAAATATCCTTTTTTCAATTCACATCATTGTTTTGCAATATTTCACAACAATTGCTTTCAGCTATTTCAATAATAGATACATTAGCAGAAAAAAAAATTGAGAGAGAGTTTATACGCTCTAAAAAATTATGTTGATCCGTACATGTAATTTGCTTTTTTTTTTCCACATCACACTTTTCAATTAATCTGCCCTAAGAAACAGTAGTATCTTTCTTACCAGTATTCTGATTGAAAAATTTAAAGACGATTTCACATTGTAGAAACAATCATATTAATACAAAACCAGAATTTTACATCCAAAGTCAGTTAAAGTGCGCCAAAACTAGTTTTCAATCTCACAAACGTTTTCTGATGACAAAACCCCGCAACTTTAGTTGTTTTGGGAGTTAAATTTGATGTTAAGGTACGATCGATTTGTAAATATAGATATAACGATGTATTGACCACGATTACTGTACAAAATGAAAGGATTTCTAAGCCTAATTTGATCAAAACAAGATGTCACAAACAAGGATGGTTGAATTCCGGTATGAAAAAATATTTTAGAACAACCAATAAAGAAGGCAAAATATTGTATATAGTAACAATAAAGGGATAAGCAACTCATTTTTACCTATAATTTCTCTTCAATAGCCAAAAAAAGAATTAAAAAAAAATTTAAAAAAAATTTGCAATACGAAATTTGAGTGTCCTATTTAATGCAGTGAATTACATTACATTTTTTTTTTCACAGCTATAATGAAATTGTAATTGGCATTAACGGTTAGGTTATACTGATAAAAGTGATTATTAGGTTATCAAAAAAAAAAAAAAAAAAATGATTCAAGGGCAAAAGATAACATTTCAGACAAAAAATTTCAATTTTCGAAAACTTTCCATTTGTATATCGAATTGTGAATTACGTTACGCAATCTTGCACACAGTTCCTAAATGCTACGAACTTCAAATATCTTAACTGATATACACACTTATGCCCTTCATAATTTACACGTAGACAATGCCTTAAACAGCCAAGTCCGTGAACTACGTTACAGTGAATTACGTTATGATCAATTTACTTTATGTTGTGAAAGAATCTTAACTAGGAGCAAAATTACCATGAATCTTTTTTCATTGTCATCGTTTATCATGCGTGAACTAGTAGAAAGGAAGTTTACAGGCGAAACTATTTTGACTAATGCAGTGGTGTTAACAATCATCTAAAAAGTGAAAAAAAAAATTTTTTTGAATGAATAGATTTATTTCATCGTTAAAAAACTTTATTGGAATTTCATTTTGAAAATGAAGGATATATGTAATACTAAGATATCATAAATATAAAACATTGATTCGCTCGTTCTTTACATCAGGCATAAGTCTGTATAATAGTGTATCGTAATTCACAACAGTGTAACGTAATTCATACATTATATTAATACAGTTTCAATCTTAGATAAAGACTAAAATGAGTAATGTGAGCCCCAAAAGAAATATTGGTGGTGGGAAAAGGCCAAAGAAGGAGACAACTACCTAAAAAAGAGGTCTAACGTCTGAAAAAGTATTATGTGCCCACTTCAGAATTAAATCTAAAAATTACCTCCATCTCAATACAGAAATAAACTGATCTTTTCAATAGTAAAAAGGGTCTAGAATAGGTTCAAAATTTGTTTGAAGAACCGTAGAACTCACTTAAATAAGAAAATTCTCCTTATTTCACACGTTTATTTCCATATTGACACTTATAATTTCGTACGTGAAATACGTTACATTGTCTGTTTTATGATAAAGACTTATTTTAAAATAGAATTTAATGTTTAGTCCTACCAAACGTGAGTGCAACGCCAGAAATCGTGTAGATAAATTGTTTAATTCATCTGTAATAAGTAGGAATTCTGCATTTTTAGAATATATAGCTTATGATTTCGGATATTTGATAAGATGTGTGAAACATGACATTGTTTAACGTTTTACAATCATAACAATCTAGATATATATACTTATGTTATCATTTTCAAAGATATTGCAATATTTATTATCATTTTCTGTATTCTAATTCTCAAAACAATGCTGTTGTTTAACCAATAAAAATCATTGGTTTGCATTTTATGGATGAATGTGAATTACCTTACAAAGAAGACAGTTTGCTCATGTCTCAAAAGAAACGTTTGCTTTGAATTCCAAAGTGCAAAAAACCTGAGAATCTCTTTATAAAAGGCAGATGAATGCAAATGCATACAAACTTCTTTGTTAATTTACGTATGGGGGTCTAATCAAAGAATAAATGATATGCCATTTTCTCAAAAGCCATTTTTTTTCTTTTTTCGTAGCTTAACTATTTGTAAATATGGACTATTTTTGAATATACTTGTAAATTTTCAATTACACTATGGATTTAAATTGGATAGTTATTTTATCTCTATCAAATACGACTACTTGAAACACCATTTTTGAATGCAACAATGATGAGTTATTTAAATTTATTTTAATTTATTCAAAATTTTAAGAAGCATCTTAATAAATACGTAAATCACTGCTAAAATTATACTGGATTTGTTCCATATGCATGCAGAATATAATCCCTAATATTAAGAGCTACCATATGTGTTTTCTGATTATTCGAATATTGTTCTATCCGAATTAAAACATTTCCTTTGTTTTCCGAGTTGAAAATCCTCAGCCGTTTTTTTTAACTGTTTAGGGCACTTTAACTGACTTTGGATGTTAACAAGAGGAGAGATAAAAAAATATAAAGAATTTACAAAGGAATTCCAATAGAATAATTTATGGTCTTTTAACTATAGTATGAACTATTCCTTATGGACAGAGTTGCTAAGTTATAATTCGTAAAATAACATTCTGTAGATCAGTCCTCCACACTGACTGATGACGAGGTGTCCTTATTATATTGTTTTCTGTGTTCTGACTCCGGTCCTCCTGACTTCACTAACACAGAGTGGTTGGACATGCTTAATGAGATACGACAGAGAGTGTACGGTAAAGAGAATCCTGTAACAAGTGAGGAAGCACAGCAGACTCTGGACAGACTGAAGTCACGTGATTATCTTTGGGAAGATCAGGACATGATAACGGAGGACACAAAGGATGAGACAATGTGTAGGATAGCATCAATAAAGAGTCTTTTACCATTCATTTACAGTAGTTATGACACAGCCAGTGTGTACCTGAGATCAGGGGGATACAACAGAAAACCTGGAGAGAAGTGTGTCATTAGTGATGATTGTGATTACTTACTGATAAACCGTCTACAGATGAACATATTGACTCACGTCACCATGGAGGACACGAGTATATATAATCTGATATACAAGATATGTAAGTCAGTGTAAAGATAATAATATGTAATTGTTTTAAGATTTCAGAAAGTGCTTCAAGTAAATGACTGTATTTTGCAGATAGATATATTTATAAACAAGAAAGGGTCAGCATTACTCTGAGCATTTCATGATCAGATTCCTATGATATTGACTATTTTATTTTTTTCATGAGGCGTGTACTTTGATGCTACAAACTGTAGATAGATTCGTTCATATAAAAGTATTGTGAATTCAATAAATATATACAGTGGCGCCTCGTTAATCTGGACGCCTCCGTTCCCAACGGAATCGCCCGGATAAATGAATCGTCCGGATAAGTGAATCACTTCTTTAAAGACGTACCCTCTCAAAGCATGTACATATGAACATAGTGGTATCAAATATTAATGTGAAGGCAAAGAAAACATTTTATTTTACCTTGACTTATTGATTTTATTTTTATAGTTTTAAAAGAAATAATTAATATTTAAAAAAGAAAAAAATTAAAATGTAATTTACACGATGAAAAATGGATGGGCAGTTTTATGTTGAGACTTCCTTTTCTAACACAGGAAACTTTACTCGCCTTCTATTTGACGTGTAGTTACATGGGCTGACCAAATTTTGATCTGCTACTGTTTTATTTCGGCAATTTTTTTTTTATTTATTCAAGCTCATATTAAGTAGAACTGTTCATTATCACCATTGAGAGTGTTCAAGTGACTAACCGCGTATATTCACTACATAGGGAAGTAAGTAACTAAACACTGTAATCAGTGTACGTATTGCAAACATTTAACGTAAACATAAGCCATATTCAGGATTATCAATACTTTTTCTATAAACTCTAAGTTATATACCTTGAAAAAACGTGATCGGCATTTATAACTAACGCCAGTTACGTATTTCTTAGTGCATTAATAGAAATATATTTTCTTGAATTATGTATCATAATAAATTGTCTTACGAAAAGAAAAAAAAAAACGTATCAAATAATGTACGATCGTAATTTGATAAACTTACGCAACTCAATACCACAACGAAATCTCGTGATTCAGTAAAAAAAAAATTATTTACAACACTCCAAAATTCTCAAAAATTTATATACCGTTAGCAATTTATTCTATTCTGAACGGATTTATATTTAATTAATGCACAGTATAAGCTAAATTCTTCGGGCTTTATATTATAAAAGACGTGTGTTTTATCCGAGGTAAACATACGCTAATTATGGACGCTATTGTTTAGAGGTCACAGGTAACCGCCTTCAAACTGAATCCACGGACAATCTAATTATTGTAAAAACATTCAATGTTTTTACAATAATTATCGCTACTGCAAGAAAGGTGTGAAAAGTCGTTCCTCGAAATATTACCGTCCGGATAAACGAGTCATTTTTCAATGAAATATTACGTTTTGTGGTAGAAATTGACCGTCCGGATCCGGAACGCGAATTTCCGGATTAATGAGACAGAATAACGTGGAAAAAATCGGTTCCCAAAAAATATCGTAAGGAAGGTGAAGCGTCCGGATTATTGGCGTCCGGATTACCGCGGCGCCACTGTAGTCATTTTAATCAATGTCATTGGTGATTAGATGTACCTTCATGTACATAAAGTGGATGCAACGTTATTGTTGACAACGTACATGAACAATCATGTTACACGAACGATTCCGCACGGTTATCGCAGGATTAAGCATGTTACACGAATTATACTTCACGCACACGATTGTACATGTTACACGATGTTTATGTGGCGCCGATTTAATATTTTAAAGGTACATGTATTTTCTTATATCACAAAATGATTATTTTTTTTTGATATCAGAAATTCGACTTTTTGATATAAAAAAAAATTGTGAAAATATACTTTTTGATATCAAAAAATAAACGGGACTTTTTTTATACGGAAAATTTAAATCTCTGCTAACAGAAAATCATTTTTTAATATCAAAAATTCGACTTTCTGATATCAAAATATGGTATTGTGATATTAGAAATTCAACTGGATATTTTGATATCACAACTCAATTTTTTGATATCAGAAATTCAACAAATATTAGTATTTAGGCTAATACAGATAACCAATTCTCCCGAGAAGTATGGTTCCACTGATGCACTGTGCTTGGGTTTTGTGCTATTCTCTAAAAAAAAATAGCGGAAAGGTGAACTTGTATATGTTACAAAATAAGGTTACCAAAAAAAACAAACAAACAAAAAAAAACAAAAAACAAAAAACAAAAAAAAACAAAAAAAAAAAAAATAGCGGAAAGGTGAACTTGTATATGTTACAAAATAAGGCTACAAGTTTCGATGTTTATGATGTAAAGAGAACTTACTGAATGTATAAAATGTTAATCACTCTATCAATTTCTACATTTCTTTTCCCATTACAAGAAAGGAGGATTCAAGACTTATTTCGAATTCGGACATTTTAGTAACTTATCGGCATTGTAAATACATGTATCAATTCATGTATATTCATTTATATCTCTGCATTAATCTATACAAAATAAAAAAAAACCCACACACGAGGCTTTAGGCTATCTATACCTTCATTGTGAGAGACAAACAACTATGAAGTGATAGCACTAATCACAGTTAACAGAACATACAATGTTGCAGCGGGATCGGTATTCAGGATGACGCTAATACGAGTAAAGTAACCATTGATAGGGAATAAGGGAGCATTCATTAATGTAAGTTCTATTTATTTCACTTATACATGTATGTTCTGATTTCAGAATATCGATTTTCTAATATCAAAAATTCGAAAGTATCTTTTGATATCAGAAATTCATTTTCTGATATCAAAAAATAGATTTTCTGATATCAGAAAATAATTTTTGATATCAAGAATTCGATTTTTTTATATCAGGAAATCCACATTAATTTCTGATATAAAAAAATTGATTCACTTATATAAGAAAATAATTTTCAGATAGCAAATGATTTTCTGATTTCAAAAATTCAAATTCTTGTTATCAAGATTTTTTTTTGATATCAAAAAATATTTCTTTGATATCAAAAATACCTCAAAAATATATAAACGGCGCCTCATAATCTTTCACGATTGCTAACGCAAAGGCACGATTCTTCACGCAAAATAGTTAAAAATATTTAGGAGTGGATATTTTCCAAACGATATAAGACTTAGTATGGTTATTTTAGATTACAAATAATTATTTACGCAATTTATCGACTTTGGAAATCTGAAAAAAAATATTTAGAAATGGATATTTTTGAAACTAAATAAGATTTAGTCGTTATTTAAAATTACAAATAATTATGTAATTCTCCGACTTAGGAAAAAAAGATTTTTTTAATCTTTTCGATACGTTTAAGATGTACATGTAATTTATGATATATTGCTGCATATTCTATCGAGTGCTATAGGTGGGCAGTGAGCATGGTGAGTATTAATTCTATTAAATTAATTCTAAACTTAATTTTATTATATTAGTACGGGGGATAAGATTTTTTTTAATTTAAATGGCATTATATGAATTAAAACCATATCCATCTGTCCATGATTCAGAAACTAATTTACAATTCATTTATTTGCAGAAATTATAAAAACAGAGTATTAGGGATTAACACTGTTAAAAGTAACCCGACATTCATGACGTGTACATTCGCCGACTTAATATTTATTAAAGCATTGGGAATTATTTATTATTTTTTGTAAAGATATACTTTTTTAATGCATTGATATAAAAACTATCTTGACCACAATTAGCAGTAAACAAACTTGACATTACAGAAAAAAAATCGTGAAATTTATTATTAAAAGTTACGCTATTTTAAGAGAATACAGTATTGTACGGCTTACTATATTGTTTTCCTACATTGTACTAGCGATAATTAGTTCGCTGGATATTGTAAATCGCGCTCCATTTTTTTTATCACAATTAAAACAGAAAATCGAAATACTTGTTTTACAAATTACATTCCGATAAAACTTACAAAACGAAGTTTGCACGTCTCTTATCTAGATCACGCACGTTTCATAAACGATTAGAACTACAAGATTGGTTTGTCAACTATATTACGTTGCATCCACTGTATCTATACTTTTCTTATTTTTATTCTAGTTAGAATTATAAATTAAACATTGTGACAGTATTCGCTTTCTTTAACAGTGAATATTTCTAACCAAATCCTTAAGGACAGTGAAGATAAAATAGAAGAATTTCTAATGGATCTTAGAAGAGGAGGGGAGGCTGTACATAACAGAGGAAGATCACAGGACAGTGTAGATCACGTGACGTGGCTCTGGAGATACGAATACTGGGCGAGACCTGACATCGTGAGATCCTGTATAGGCCTCCATCCACACAATGACATTTACATCATCGACAACAAAGCTTACAGAAAACCAAGTAAAGAACTTAATATAATTGAAATGTTATACTTAGTTTACTTTAGGTCTATAACTTTAAAACTTTACAGTTACATAACATATTATATACGTTCCAAGAGACTGAAGTATCTATGTAATGGAGGTAATAATGGTTCGTTTTAGAATCAGTGTTTCCGCTGATTTTGAAACCCAAGGGCTATTATGACCCTTTGAAGTTCATTTTTGGTAGTCAATTTTTGAAGGTCAAAATATTTTTTATAGTAGATATGCTTGCTTACATCTTAATTCTATGTTTTAAAAAATGAATGTTAACTTGTTCATTACCAATTCCGCCATTTGAGTGTCTCGGAATACACATTAATCAAGAGTAACATTTGAAAGTTGTTTGAACGTTTTGCAAAACTGTTCATCAACAATTTGAGCTTTGCTGACCTTTCTATTCAAAACCGAACTGAAATAAACATGCCCATTTCAGAAACGGTATCTTTTATTTGGACTTCAGGTTTTGTTAAGAATTGGATAGATCGTTCGAAAATTTAAATAGATTGTTGTCATTGAAATGTAATTCCAATCAATTCCGATTTATTCCTAGAAACTCCGAGCAAGGATTTATTTCTAGAAACTTGGAATGTAAATTAATAAACTGGTTCCATCCAGGCAACATTGAAATCAATTTTTTTTATTTATGTTGTTTGACAGATTCCATGAAATCATAACAGTAACGCATATTTAAAGGAATAAGAATGGCCATTTATTCAAAACAAGTTTAATAAATGACAAACAGTATAAACATACATACAATCAATTAAATAGACTAGGGACAAAAATATTATACCTTGAACCCGCAAGATCGGTGCACATCTCTGACTAGAAAAACATACTTTTTACATCGGAAGCACATGGGTTAAAAACTACCGCAAGACAAAAAGCGTCCCTGAGTCCTAATTGTAAAATTGCATAATCAAAAAACATATTTCTAAATGTAAGCATATGTACATGTACAACAAAAGACAATATGGGGCGTCATCTGCCAAGCCAGCATGGGTTGTTTTTTTCTTCTCGCACTGGTATCCGAATGCTACCTTGTTACGGTGGCAAATTTCTGTTACGGAAACACCGCAGAATGAAAGAAAAAATATTTTTTATCAAAGTAAACATGCTATCATGCTATTTTAGAGAGAAAAAATACAGAAATTCATTATCTTATTTTTTAAGGATCTTAATACTACCAGATGATGCACCTATCAACATTTAAAACAATAAATGTCAAAATTTACACGTTCTGTCATGGTTGTGAAACATATAAAACTTATATACAGCTGAACCACTCAGGTTGCACAGTTTATTGCTGTCTTTCTCAGTAACGACTCTTATAATATACGACAGAGAAAAGGTCCCAGGTCCGAGGTCTTTGTCGTCTTGGGATTGATTGTCCTGCTCTAATGGTTATATTCTACTAATCATAAGATCTGCAGTAATCCAACTTTCATTGTTTACCTGCATGTCAATACATTAAAGAAATACAAGTAATAAGTGTACTAAACTTAAGCAAAGAAGGTACCCCTTTCTATGTATTTGTCATGAAAAAGGTTCAATATCCATCCCCCCCCCCCCAACACACACAATTTGAAATAACCATGCATGCCCTTTTATCATGTAATTCATAATGTTCTATATTTTAATGGGCTTTAGCCAATCATCTTTTGATTGTATTAAATTATGAGCCCCTGTAATATTGTCATCCATTCCTCGTTCCTCTATTTGCTGCGACATCACTTTAACACTTTGTTCTAAAACCGGTACTGTCCCTTTAATAGTGTTCACTTCTCAATCTAAAATTGTTAATTTGTTTTCGAAATTTGAAATGTGAAATTTTATTTCGTTTAGTGTTTCCAACTTTTCGTCAACCAATTTCAGTTTTTCAAAAATCCCCTCTAGAACCCAAACATGCGACCTATTTATGATGTTATTTCTATTTATAGCACTGTTTGTGGGTGAACTGTTCAATATAGCTATACCTGGTAATTGAACATTATGACCAACTGGGGATATAGGGTACATATTTCCGGGGCTAGGGTAAGTGTATAGCATTTGTGGTCCAAGACCATATGCGCCGAAATGCACGGAATCATCTCTAATGTCTAGCAGTATCTTGGCGACTTGCTTGCCTCGCTTGAATGATCCGCCACTTTTTTCTGCACGCTGTCTTTAATGTTACCTTCAGAGAGTTCTTGGATAACTCTTATTCCGACCTTTCTTCTTCTTCTGTCTTGAAGTCGGCATATATATATATATATATATATATATATATATATATATATATATATATATATATATATATATATATATATATATCCAAAAAATGAAAAGAAATATCACAGTGTCCGGTAATTAATATGAAAATTAAAAATAACAAGGCAACAATGTTAGTAAAACGTAAGCGCTTTCATTATACTTCTTCAGACGTTTTACAATTCAAAACAATTCAAACATGTGACGTTATAACGCTACCTGATGATAACGTCAACAACAATGCAATGACGTCACAATGCTTATAGAGGAAACAATTATAGAGTCTAAGTAAAATTACTTTGTTCATTAATAGCGTAATAAATAATAAAGTCATGAAACAGTCTATATTAAACTATTTAAGGACGGTTTAAAAATCTTGATGAAATGTTTTTCTTTTTCCCGTCTTTCTAAAAGATTTTCTGTTTTGAGTTTATAAAAGGGATAAACTGAGAATTGTCCCTGTCCACAAACAGCAAGATGTTCACTGAGTTTTATTTTTCTGTACTCGGGTTGGTTGATATGTTGTCTATGTATGCGTATACGAGTGCGTAGTGTAGTAGGGAAGTACTTTTACACTCGGAAATAAAGAATTTACTATCAATGCAGATATGACCTGTGCATCTAAAAACGTTATTTATTGTATAACATGCACTGGATGCGGACAATTATACATAGGAGAAACGGGGACCACACTACGCACTCGTATACGCATACATAGACAACATATCAACCAACCCGAGTACAGAAAAATAAAACTCAGTGAACATCTTGCTGTTTGTGGACAGGGACAATTCTCAGTTTATCCCTTTTATAAACTCAAAACAGAAAATCTTTTAGAAAGACGGGAAAAAGAAAAACATTTCATCAAGATTTTTAAACCGTCCTTAAATAGTTTAATATAGACTGTTTCATGACTTTATTATTTATTACGCTATTAATGAACAAAGTAATTTTACTTAGACTCTATAATTGTTTCCTCTATAAGCATTGTGACGTCATTGCATTGTTGTTGACGTTATCATCAGGTAGCGTTATAACGTCACATGTTTGAATTGTTTTGAATTGTAAAACGTCTGAAGAAGTATAATGAAAGCGCTTACGTTTTACTAACATTGTTGCCTTGTTATTTTTAATTTTCATATTAATTACCGGACACTGTGATATTTCTTTTCATTTTTTGGATATATTCTAACCAGTGACCGAGATGGCGACATATATGGAAAATCACCATGAGGAAACAAACGATTTATTGAGTGAGATTCTTGCTAGGATAAATTTCATTGAGGAGAAAATGGACGCATCCATTGAAATGTTTAAAAACTTAATCAAGGTAGGTGACAAAGGCTCTAACCATTCTGTAAATGAGGAAACGTATGTAAAATCAGTTTTTACATCCAGCGTAAATGATGATCAAGTGGTGTATCAATCTCCAAGTGAGATAATTCAACGAGAAATCAATGAACTTGCTTTACAAAAAGAAGCTCACAAAATTAAACAAACAATGAAAAAAGAATGGAGTAGAAAACTAAATACCAGAAAACAGCTGTATTGGAAGCAAATCAATAATTCTAAGGATGCGGAACAATATGAGAAATGGCTTAATGAAGAAAATCCAACTTTGCCTCGCAAATATAGAATTACAAGCATTCGCGGAGAGCCCGAGGAACAAACAAAAGTTCGAGTCAACGTTGCTGTAGAGAGAGTCAAAGGTGAAATAGAATTACTACGCATGAGATCAAGTATCTCTCAACAAAATGTAATTAACATTGATGAGCAAATGAATACAGCATTAAAAACAAAAGCAACGGGTAGAGTCTTAGAAATTCTTCTAAGTATTTGGAAATCAGATTGCGAAAAAGAAGAAAAGAAATCACTTGATAGATGGCGATACAAGGAAATTTGGCTACTTGATTACGTAAGAAAATACGGAAACGGAGTTATTAAGGAAAGACTTCATAAAGAGTCTACAACAAAAAATAACAAAGAGAAAACACTACAAGCAACTAACTCAAGACAACAGGAATTAAGCTATGCTGAAGCAGTCAGTAGACCGAAAAACATATCTAGTAACAAGGAAACCACTCAACAAATTAACAGGAGTTCGTTTCAAATTCCCGATACTATGTATTGGAGAAAAACATGGAAGATGCAGCATCGAGAAAATAATCCTTCAACAATGAGGTATAACAAGAACAAATTCCACCAATCTCGGGGAAGATATTCAACAGAAAAACAATCATTTAGAAACAGAAATCCTGGACAGGGACCTATGAAGTTCTTCAATCCTTCTGGAAACTTATTCAGAAGAAATGGTACAACTTACATTGGAAAGAAATCTTCACATTATTTTTTAGGAGGAGGCAAACAGAGCCAAGGTCAAAGATTTCAGCATATACCAATACCTACAAGGACAGAGGAAAAATTGGGAACCATAGACCCAAAAGTGATAAACCTGTCAAGTAGGCCATTAAACGCGGCTGAAATAAAATTACTGTCAAAAGGATTAAAATTTACACCAACACTAAGTGACTCTAATCTTCAGGAATTATCTAAGGATATCAAGGAATATACAAGAAAATTAAGACTAGCAGAGTATTTTCATAATGATGACGAAGACGAAAACACGTCTGAAGGTGATCTTGTTAGGAACAAATCAAATTTTAATCCAAAGAAAGGAAGGAACAGTCTCCTTGACACCGTTTGTAATACTCTGCAAAATATACCTCT